GAAATTATTTACTTTACTAGTGAGCCCTACAAACGCAGAAGATTTTTTAAGAAAAAAATTAATAATTAATAAAAAAAATGGACAAGAAATCGAAAGAAGCATTGCGACGATATAAAAAGGCCCGCAAGGCTGCCGAATCGAGCAGTGAAAGCAGCAGTAGTAGCAGTGACAGTGAATCGGGCTCATCCAGTTCCTACAGTTCGGAAGATGAACGTCGACATCGCCATAAGAAATCGCGTCAGCCAGGCATGCGACGTTCCAGCAGCTCCAGTGGTGATGAACGGCACAAGCGGGAGAAGGAACGACGTTGCCAAAAGAAATTGGAAGCCAAACGTAATCATCTGAAACGTAAACTCAAAGAGGCGAAGTTGAAGAAGAAAGCCGCTGCGGCAGCTGCAGCCCTCAGTGGTCATTCCCATAGGGCATTGTCGCCAGCCACGCAGGCGAAATTGAAGAAATTGGCCGAACGTAAGCATTTGCGTGCTGCCAGTAAGGAGCGACGTGAACGAGAAAAGGAGAAACACCGAGCTTTGCGGGAACGCGAAAGGGAGCATCATCATCGTAGCAGTCGTTCGCCAACGAAGATTACAAAGATACGCATACATCAGGATGTGAATAGGCAGAAGACACCACCACGGGTACATCATCAACTGATGTCAAGGGAGAAGATAATCATTCAGACCCGTACCCGGGATCGCACCCCGTCGGCTGAGCGGGAGCGATTGCGGCATGAGAAAATGCGTCATGAAGATATGGCCCGGGAACGGGAGAGGCGAGAACGTGAAGCAGCACGTGATAAGGAAAGGGCGGAGGCTTTGGCCAGATGCCAGGAGAGACAAAGGGAGCGAGAACGTTTGGCTCGTGAAAAACTGCGTCGTGAGGAAGAAGAAAAATATGGTAAGCCCATGAGTGAGCGTTTATTGGCCCGGGGTCCTGAACGGGAAATGGGTGGACGTGGTTTTGAGCCACGTGATCGTTCCTTGGAAAGAACCAAACGTGACATTGATCCCTATGATCACGGCTATGGACGCAAACATCGTCCCGATGACTATGATGAAGGTAAGATTTTGAAACACACAAAATCAATCATTTTCACAAATGACCATCCTCTTCTATCTTTCACAGAAAGTGAACGCCGTGCCATTCTGGAACGTGAGGAACTCTTACGCGAACGCGAATATCTTGCACGACGCCGTGAAATGAGCCCCTCAGAATATCCCGGCTCCAGTGGTAGTCGCATGCGTGCCGATCCCCGAGACATTTATCCCGAAGATGATCGAGAACGTGCCTACAAGAGACCCTTCATTGAGGAAGGACGTGGTGGTGGCGGCGGTCGTGAACCATGGCTTTCCGAAAGAGAAATACGTGCACGTGAAATGCATGATCCACGTGACTATCGTGAAATGGAACCTGAACATTTATATCCCGAAGAACGTGATCGTCTACCTCCACCAAGGGAACGAGAACGGGGCTATGTCGGACGCCCAGGATCCGATTGGAAACGCAAAGAATGGATTGGAAGTCCACGTGAATGGCCCAACGATGAACCAGGACCATCTTCTCATGCTTCCGGTCGTGGTTTTGGTGGACCAAAAAGAGGTACCGGCTCTGTTTTACCGCCCGGCAAGATACCATCACCATCTGCACGCGAACCAAGACCACAGTCGGAAACCGACTGGGATGCTGAAGAGGGCCAAATTGAAGTTTCCAAAAAGCCAGAGTCCAGCCGCGATGCCTGGTTGGAACATGACAAACGTGACTTACCTGAATCACGTGAAAAATTAGCACCTGGTGGTAGACCATGGGATTGGCGTGAGCGAGATGAGCCATCTGGACCACCTAGCTACTCACGGGGTCCTCCTGGTCCCATGATACATCATCCACGTAGTGAACGTGGTGGTAGAGGTGGCTATCGCCGTGGTGGACACATTATACATGGGGAACGTGCGCCGGGAATTCACGGCTTTAGAGCCCATCATCCACCAGCTCTTTTGAATTTACCACCATCCGGTGGTAGTGGTGGTGGCGGCTTCCATGAGGGTTCGCCTCGATTCCCCAATAAACGTAATATGACATACACAAATCCCAACATTTTGAAAAAACAACAGGCTGCCCTAGCTGCAGCCAATACGGCAGTAGCAGCTGCAAAAGCTGCTGCCCAAAGTGCTGCTAGCGGTACCACAAACCCCAGCATTTTAGGACAAGCTGCGGGAGCTGCCAGACCAGGTCAAAGTGCAGATGATAAACCGGAAGCTGGGGAAATTGTGGGAGAAGCCGAGGAAAAACAAACGGCAGCCAGTAATGCTGCTGAAGGTGCACCCGAACAAAGTGAGCAACCAAGCGGAGAGGCACCACCCGAAAAGGAAAAGAAATCCGGGGAATTAAGTGAAATCAGTGACAGTGACGATGACATTTTGAATAAGACCGAGAAGAAGGCAAAACTTGATACTGACGATTCCAATTCACAAACAAAGACGGTAGACAAGGAAGCAACCGAGGAGAAAGGAGAAGAAGAGGAGATTATGGATTTTGAAGAAATTTCTGATGGAGAGTTGGAAGAGGAAAGGGCTGCCAAGGGTAAGATATAAACTAGGGATACCAAACCACATATTAATAATGTCTTCATTTTTCCATTTAGGTGTTGGTGATGCCTTGGGTGTGGACTGGTCATCGCTGGTTGCAGAAACCAAACGTGAACCCACATGCGCCACCACAACTGCCAAACAAAAATGGCAACCACATCGTATTATTTTGGACATTGGAATCTCCATGCGTATGGCTGGCGAAGAATATGCCAAGGAATTACTGAACAATGCCAAACAGCAATTGGAAGAAGAAATGAAAGAGAAAAGCAGCAGCAATATTAAATCGGAAGTCAAAGATGAGACAACCATTAAATCTGAAATTAAAGATGAAGTTTCATCCTTGTCGACATTAGATGAAGATTCCCAAACTGCAGTGGAAAATGATGACAACACCTCGGACATTAAACCCAAAGAAGAGAAACCAGATGTCAAGCCACCACCCACAGAGACCATAAACATTGATAGTCTACCACCTTTGGCTTGTATGCAGGTGGCTCAACGTAAACTCCAAATGGAACGTAATAATTTAATTGCCAACGCTTGTGGCCTAAATAGTAGAGCACTGAGTGCCCGCCAAGATCTTAAGTTACGCCGACAGTTATGTGGCCTTCCAGCAAGGGAGTGTCCCATTTCACGTAATATTCCCGTTACTAGTGACAAACTTAAAGCTATGGCTTTAGCGGCTTTCCAGCGAACATTAGAAGTTAAATAAATACAATTGAGTTATTTTCCCAATTTATTTACTTTAAGGCTGGCTGGCAAACAGAATTCTAACTCATGTTTATTTGTTTGGAAAATATGCTTAATTGAATATACCTATTAGACACGTATTTGTCAATGTTTTAGGCAGTAGATTGTAAGATCATATACTTATAGATATACATATTAATAACTAAACCATGAAATCTTTGAAATAATGTACTATGGTACAAACTACCGGGGAAGGTCGAATTTTTGTAATTTTTTTCAATGGGCGATAAAATGAACGTATTGAAAACGTACAGTTTTCAATCGTTTGACAAAATCTCATTGAATATCAATAACTCCTTGGATTCTTTAGAATATAATGACAATTTTTATTTTGGAATAATTTATTTATTTTTTCGATGATGACTTATCTTTTTCCATATCAGTATATCGGAAACGGATATTCGTGTCTTTATATTTTATTGTTTTTCAGTCAATTGACAATTTTTCAAAATACCGACTTTTATCCCTAAGTTTTCTTGTACTAGTAGTGTATGAATGAATTGATGAAATAAACTGAAATGTCTTACCGATGGATAGGTAAAAAAATATCATCGTATTTTCAATTTAATGCAAAGTCACAACGTACCAGACATCTTATCTTCAGAAATACATAAAATCGGGTAAGTATTTTTGTAAAATTGTTGATCTTTTATAAATAACGGAAATCTGGAATAATTTTTGTTTTTTTACAGTGAATTCATCAATTCCCAAAAAACTGCTTCGAATATTTATTGAAGCAATAAAAAAGTTAAACCAAATTACGTATCATATGGTGAGTATATAGAACATGTTTGTCAAGAGCGTAATGTCCAATGCGTTTACATAAAGTAAAATTAAATAAAAAGAAAAAATGGATCCCGGAATGCTTGCTCCGGATTCTTTTGGTCCGAACAAAACCCCGGACTGTGGTTCTGTTCGGTTTGTCAGAACATCGTTCACCAGGTCAGTGTTGGTGAGATGTAATGGGTGCAGGAAGTGGATAAACTTCAGGAATTGTTCCAAGTTGGCCCGGTTGCGAAAGGGATTACGTTGCCTCGTGCTGCGACAGCGCAATCTCCAGCGAGTTTTCGTCTGCGACGTCATATTTTTCGTCAGAGTACAGAACTCCACCGCAGTCTCCTCAATAGCAACTAAATATGCAGCATTTAAGACCGCACGTTGCTGTTCCCACCCTTGACAGTGCACCGTTTCTGCAATTTAGTTGCAACGGTCATCAAGAAAAAAATAGATGAGATAGTGGACTTCATGAACCGGAAGAATATTTTGTTCGCGGCGGTGCAGGAAACCAAGCTCAATGAAAATTGTAGCCTACACCGTTGTGATGGTTACAACGTTCTGAGGAAGGATCGCACCAGAAGTGGAGCTGAGGGCCTAGTATTCCTTATGCACCACTCTGTTCAATACAGGCCTATCTCGCGTGAGCTTGACTCTAGTGACATGCATGCATGCAATGTATGGGGGTAGCAGTTAAATGTGGTACTGCCAAGGTAGAGGTGCTTTACCTGTACATACCGCCGATTAATAGCTGTGAACCGCGTTATTTGCCCAACATTAGTTTTCTATTGGAGGGCGATAACCGTCTGGTGCTAGGGGATTTCAATGTCCACCATGATTGGTAGCTCCACGTTATGCACGATAAATGAGGATGCCCCCACCAGAATAAGAGGATAGTGTAACAGTGACTTCACCATTGTGTCACCAGGTCTGATAAATTACGTCAAATTACTCCCCATAATCGTCCGATTTCTACCCCAAAATACTCGGAGTCACATTCGATAGTATATTTAAATCGTGCGCGCAAACCACATCTATCTATGATAAGTTGAAAAGTGGGAACAAGGTCCTCAAGTCGCTTGCAGGCAGCACTTGGGGCGTAGATAAGGAAACCTTTTTGATCTCTTATAATACGATAGGTCGGTCTGTGGAAAGCTATGTGGTTCCAGTGAGGTCTGCGAACTCTAGTGATACGCAATGGAGAAGCATTCAGACCTGTCAGAACACCGCCTTGAGGACTGCGACAGGGTGCCTCCTCATGACACCAGTGGACCATTTTCATGAGGAGACGAATATCCTTCCCTTACGTCAGCATAGCAATATGCTTTCGTTGCAGTACCTGGTTGGGTGCTTCAGGGACAATCATCCCATCTATTATATGGTGGATAAAAAACCCCCACCCAGGCGTGTCAGGAGGGATTTGCATGATCTAGTGAAAGAGGTTCAACGTTACAAATACAAAATTGATTGAATGCTGTCCTCGGAGCTCACCCTACACCCATATCAGCAGAAGAACGTCAGCTGCCCATACAAACCAGAGTAGTTTTGGCCCGATTACGTTCAGGATGGATGGTGCAGTCGTATTAATTCTCATCTCGTATTGGGCACGGATAGATGGCGAGGTGAAGCATGTCTGCCCAGCATGTACGGGCCTTCATACCACACCGCACTTAATCAATTGCCCAGCCAAATCTACTCATCTTACTCCTTAAGATCTGTGGTTACAGACAGTGGAAGTAGCTGCATTTTTTAATTTGGAGACAGAACCAGATAGAATTTAAACAGGAAAAAATATATTCATATAAAATGCACGGCCACCACTCGCCAGACCAAACTCAAACTATACAAGAAACTGATATTACCCGAATCTTAAGCATGGGTACTTGCGCAAACCGATGAGGCAGGTCTAGGTGTGTTTGAGAGAAAAATTCCCCGGAAAATCTATGGGCCGATCTGCGCCGACGGTGAATATCGTCGTCGAATGAACCAGAAGCTCTACCATCTATTCTCGGTCATTGTCATAGTCAGACATATCGGGAGAAAACGGTTATTTTTCCGCTATAAAAGAGGGCAGCGAGATTTTCTTTTCGTCATGCTAAGTTTTTACGGATAGAGACGTGAAATCCGGTGATATCCACTGACGGTGTACATGGGCTATAGAATGGATCCCCATACTGATGTTAGGAATTTATATTCATTAGCAACTTCCAACTCTGGTAAACAATTTGTAGTTTGTAATAAAACAAAAACCCAATATCAAAATTTGTTTCTTTGTTAAGTTTCCTTATATTTAGATGTTACCTTTTTTCTTTTATTAGTTTAATGTTTTTTTCTTTTTTTCTCTTTTTGCTTTGTTAAAGTGCTAAAAGTTAATCTGAACTTTGTTTTAATTATGATTTTCAATACAATTTTTGTAGGTTTTTTTGTTATTACTAGTTTGGTGTGAGGACTCTATGTTTTATTTTTTTTTCTTATCTGATTTTAATTTGAAAGTTGATCAATAAATAATACAAAAAACAAAATTAAACTTTAGCAAACAACTTACAATTATATAATTGAGGGTATGTTTTTTTATTACTTTTTTCTTGTTTGTTTAGTTTTCAGTTTTTTTGTCAATTAATTAACAACAAATTATAATTAATAATAATAATAGATACATATTTTGTTTTGTTTAATTTATAAATCTATATTTTTTATATATACCTCCTATACAATCAAAGTATATATGTAAATGGTTTAATGATATATAATGGCGGGTGTTCAAATTCATTTTTTTCTTTTGTTTTGTTACGAGTTACAATACTCTTTAGTTTTTTGTTTAGAACGTATAATTAAATTTGGAAGTGTTTGTTTTTTGTTATTTTGTGGCTTTAATTTTTGTGTGTATTGGTTTTTTTCTCAAAAATTTCTTTGTTTTAATGTATGAGATGGGAAAATGGGATATTATCGGCTTGGATGCGACTACAGGTTTTTTTCTTATTGCTAAGACACAGAGTGTAAAGGATATAAGATTGATTGGCATCCAAAAAAAGCGAAAAAGTTCTGCCGTGTATTTGATGTTGCTTTGCATCGATGTATTGACAATCGTAATAAGCGTTTTGGACTGTCGAACCTAATTGGTTTCCATCACACACCTTGAAAACTAATTCGCATTCTTATATCATTTACACGTATACTGCTGTGCTTCTTTTTTTTGTTATTGATCCTTATTTTAAAAATACAATTTTGTGTGACGAACAGTTGCTGAAAACAAATCCAAAAGATTTTCCATTTGTTGAACATTTTACTTTTTTGTTGTTGTATTGTTTTTGGCTAATGTTTGGAAGAGTTCCGTGTGGTGGTGGAAACAAATCTATGTAAAGCTATTGAAACATAAAACAAAGTACTCTACAAAAAACAATTTGAAGTTTTGCATTTTTTGTATGTTTTCTCTTATGGTAGTAATTGCTAATTGGTATTTGTTTGGGGTCCTTTTTTCCCTTCTTTTTCTGGTTTCCAGAGTTCCACATGACTTCATTTTGAAGTTGTTAGCCCCATCTCCGTCTGTGTTTGTATATATATAGGCCTCGAGTAGTGGTAGTAGTATATCAATGTATTATTTTTTTCTTATTTAAACCTTTTTTGTTTTATTACTCTTCTGTTGTCATTTCTTTTTTTTAGAATCTTTGATAGGCTATGCATGCATTTTCCTCGGTTTTCTCAATAATGATGTCAATTCATTGATGGTATTCTCATATCATGCCAATTCATTTCAATATTTGGCCATTTTGTTTGTAGGCATGTCATTAAAGGGTTGGATACAAATACCGATTTCAAATCGGTTTCCAAAAGTATGGCAGAACCTTTACAATAGCGAACCTGCAATGAAAATGAAAATTAATGTATTATAAAAAAAAATATATATATATATATAAGACAAATCCAATCCTCACATAGGCCTTAACACAAGTAATAAAAAAAACAGTAAGGAAAGTAGTAAAGTCGGACTGGGCCGACTATATGATACCCTTCACCAATTTGGGTATATTCTACATATGTATCCTAACAGACGTCGCTTCTTCGAAGGAAAATTGACATGAAATTGAACGAACTTACACATGTCATTCTGCAACCTATGCTAACTTTTGTTAATATGAATAGGTCGAAATTATATATGCAAGCTATGCTATATCTATATCTGAACCGATT